TTTTTTTTCCCTAAGAGAGGATCTTGTTCCATTTCTTGGGCTAGAGTGCAGTGATACGATCATAGCTCATTTCGATCTTAATTCCTGGGATCAAGCAATCCTCCTGCTTCAGCCTCCCAAACAACTGGGACTACAGGCACACAGCCATGCCTGGCCAATTTTTCTCATTTTCTGAAGAGATGGGGTCTCACTTTGCTGCCTAGGTTAATGTCAAACTCCTGGCCTAAAGCAATCCTCCCACTTCTGCCACCCAAAGTGCTGGGATTATAGGTGTGAATCACCACATCTGAACAACCTTGTTTTTTTTCTTTTCTTTCTTTCTTTTTTTTAAACCAACCTATTCTCAGCCCTGGCATATAGTTGGCATTCCACTGTTCTATAGATATTTGACAAATAAAGAAATAAGCATATATTCCTTGAGCTTTCATTGGAATCATTCTCATAGGGGATATAGACAAATTAAAAGGCAATTACAATATGGTCTTCTGCCTTAGATTTACCATCCTGTAACATAAATTCTCAGTTCAAGAATATTTAATCAACTTAATTTTCCCCTGAGCTTATTTCCATCCTGGGCAGTTATTTGCCCTCCCATCTCCTCTCTGTTTATCTAAATCTTGCTGGCTCTTCTATATTAAAGTCTGATCTTGTAGATAAAGCCTTTTCTCCTCATTTCAGAGCCATATTCCCTCATTGCTATGGGCTCTTATTGTACTGACTACTCCTTTGCTCCTTAATCTTATGCTATATAAAATTGCTATTGAGTTTTTCAAAAAACACATGCCTTGTACTTCCGGGGAGATTAGACGTTTCTCAACAATGAGAATGTATTTCTTATTTTACTTTTTTTCTCATAGTCTCCACTTTGTGCAACAAAGTACTATACACAGAGTTTGATTACTGCTTGTTCATTTCAAAGGAATTTATTCTGCCTTTTCCATTCATAGGTCTGTGCTTCCTGAAGATAGAAGAGAAAATATGAATTGCGCTTATTTTCATAATGGGAAAATCCACCCTACTTCGTGTAAGAACAAACATTATTTAATGTGTGAGAGGAAGGCTGGCAGGGTAAAACTGGATCAACTACTTTAATGCAAAGAGACAGACAGGATATCACAGACAAGGGTGCGAATGCACAATAAAACATCTGGATGAGGAAACGACTAGCCATAAAATTGCTTATTTCACCCTTTCTTCTCCTTGCAGTCATTTTTTGTATTATCTTTACTATCAAAACCACTTACCTAGTTAATTCTTTGAACATCTGAAAGCCAAGATGTGAGTTAATCATTTGCTACCCGATTATTCTATTTTCCATCAGTTTTGTTTCTTCTTTTTTTTTGTTGCTACTTACATAAACATAGTAGGATTCACTGATTCATATATATCCTCTGATATATATGTATGTATACATAAAATTAAAATCAGTACAAGACATGTTAGGGCTTAATTGACTTAAGTTGTATGAAATATCTAAGCTTGAAATCTATGCAAATTATCTACATTTGAAAGACAGCCTGCCACAGTAATAAGAATACTAAACTTGGTATCATAGAATAATCTAGACAATGTGGTCACTTAGTGAAACACAAGCATAAGACGGTCATGTAGCCTCTTTAACTTTCATTTTCTTGTATTTAAAATAGGATAATAGCATCCATCTTTTATACATCACAGTTCTACAATCTAACTACACCAGAGGCTCCATGAAAACAGACGCATAACTTCTCTATTTACTGTTCTCTGACCAGCACCAAGCACAGTTCCTGGCTCATAGGAAACAGGGAAATGTTTGCTTTCCATTATATGAGACAGTTCACTAGAAATATCTCATTCAGTAAAACACTGCACAAATAAAATTACTGTTTCAAGTCACCTCTAGTGAGACTCAACAGCAGTAATATTCTGTGCAAAGGAAAGAAAAGTTTGCAAGAAACCTCCCTGGAGGTGATAAAAAACAATAATTCTTCTTAACAAGGCCCAGGGACAATAAGTAAAAATGCTTTATCTAGTTCTTTTCCTAAGAGTCCTATAGTTGTTTTTTTTGCTTAGTAACTCAGAAAGTATTTATAGAAAGTGTGGAGAGGCACCCTTTTACAGGATAACAAGCAAAGACGGCATTGCTTTCCCACAAGCTTCCCTTCTTTACTGTGAATAGAATTTATAAATATGATTCCCAAACATCTCAACTGAAGTATGTTAAAACTTGAAGATATTCGAACACAAATACTTAGAACACTTAAGAAACGAAGTGACCTATGTTTTTAACAAACACCTCCACATGATTGATTTGAGTATTCTTCATTTTTTTATTTTTTTGAGACAAAGTCTCACTTTTGCCCTGGGTAGAGTGCTATGGCATAGTCATAGCTCACAACAACTTCATTCTTTTCTGCTCAGGCAATTCACTTGCCTCAGCCTCCCCATTAGCTGGGACTACAGGCTTTCACCAACTCCCCGGGCTAATGTTTCTATTATTAAAAATAATAATTTTAAAAAAATAAAAAATAAATATTTATTTTTTTAAAATAAAAATTTTTTATTAAATCATAGCAGTGTACATTAATACTATCGTGGGGTACAGTGTACTGTTTCTATATACAATTTGAAATACTTTCATCCAACTGGTTAACATCTCCTTCATGTCTTTTTCTTAGTCATTGTGTTAAAACATTTATATTCTACATTTAGAGAGACTCACATGTACCCTTATAGGATGAACCATAGGTGTGATCCCACCCATCACCCTCCTCCCTACCCTCTATCCATATTCCTGGGCTAAAATTGGGTTATTCTTAGCAAAGTATCTCAAGAATGGAAGAAAAAGTATCCAATGTACTCAGCCCTACTATGAAACTAATTTATAACTTTCATAGGAAAGCTATAATGTTTCTATTTTTAGTAGAGACGGCATGTTGCTTTTGCTCAGGCTGATCTTTAACTCTTGAGCCTAAAGGATCCACCTAGCTCAGCCTCCCAGAGTGTTAGGATTACAAGCGTGAGTCAGCAAGCCTGGCCAACAGTACCCTCTAATACATTTTGAGAAATATTACTTTAGAACTTATGATACTGGACAGGTGGCTCCCCAGTTTAGCTCCAGCTCAGCTGAACGGGGCTGGAGGACCTGCCACCTCCATCTTGGCCGTGTTGGTGGCAGCAGCCTGCAGAGGAACCAGCAGGCTGGAGCAGGCTGGAGCAGGCTGGAGCGTAGGATCCAAAAGCTCATTGGACAACTGCCCTTATATAAGCCCCTGAGCAGAGGGCCCAAGGGCAGACCACGGCAGACCTCCAAGGGAGAGAGAGCAGAAGAGCAAGAGCTGTAATACTTATATCCTGCTCTGCAAGGAGGTTTGGCTCTTTGTGAGAGCTGTAATACCTGTTGAATAAAATCTAACTTACTGTTGATCCTGTGGTCTGTCAATTCATTCATTGAATCGTGGAGACCAAGAGCCTGGAAATCCAGTATCAAAAGTCTGGTATCACTTACTCTCTATGTGTAAGTTGGTAAGTAACTTAATCTCTTTTAAAACTCAGTCTTTTCAGGTGGGGCATGGTGGCTCACATCTGTAATCTTAGCACTCTGGGAGGTCAAGGTGGGTGGATTGCCTGAGCTCACAGATTGGAGACCAGCCTAAGCCAGAGCGAGACCTCATCTCTAAAAATAGCTAGGCCTTGTGGTGGGCACCTACAGTCCCAGCTACTTGGAAGGCTGAGGCAAGAGGATCACTTAAGCCCAAGAGTTTGAGGTTGCTGTGAGCTGTGATGCCACAGCACTCTACCCAGGGCAACCACTTGAGATCCTGTCTCAAAAAATAAAAATTAAAAAATAAATAAATAAACAGATTTTGAGGGCTAAGGAAAATGACAAAAATACCTCCGATTCTGTTCACTGTTTTAATGTCTGGAGATCTTGAACTTGGAGTAATAGTATCATGATTTTCTTATTTTAATCATTTATTTAGAGAAACCAGATAGCTAATAATTCAGAAAGCTGTCTAAGAAGTAGATGTATCTCTGGCTTTCACTGCTTCACCCAGAATAGAAAAGCATATAGTCACACATCCCTATGGCACACGTAAACTTAGAAGAATACTTACTATCTTAGTGCATGACAAAAACACAGCTAAAAAATGAAAATCAATCAAATCATGCTTACACAGATTCTTTCTTTCCTTCTTTCTTTATTTATTTGGTACTCATATCTAAACCATCTTACACATGAAATCCAAATAGCAGAGATGTTAATTGCACAGATTCTGTCATCAGACAATTTACGTTAAATTTTTTTTATTTTAAGAGATGAGATGTTACCCAGGCTCTTGGGTTAAAGCAGTTCTCCTGCCTCAGCCTCCTACATAGCTGGGATTATAGGCGCTTACCACCACAGCCAACCAGACCACTTAGTTTCAGATATCTGCTTTCTAAGGGAATGTCAGCAAAATCTGAATTCTCTGTGTCTCAATTTACAATTAAGTTATAGATATGCCTCAAAAATATTCTAGACATCCCAATAAAGTGAATATTGTAGTAAAGTGAATCACTTTTTTAATTTCCCAGTATATATATAAAAGTTATGTTTACACTATAGTCGATTACATGTGCAATATCATTATGTCTAAAAAAGAATGTATATACCTTAATTTAAAATATTTTATTGCTAAAACAATAATGATTATATGGTTCTTTAGCTAGTTATAATCTTTGCTGTTGGATAGTCTTTCCTTATGTTGATAGCTCCTGACTGATCAGGGTGGTGATTGCTGGAAGTTGGGGTGGCTATGGCAATTACTTAAAATAAGACAAAATGAAGTTTGGCATATCAGTTGACTCTTCCTTTTCCAAAATTTTTCTCTGAAGCAAGCATTTTACCCACAAGGTTCTTTCAACATTGGAATAAATTCTCTCAATCTCTGCCACTGCTTTATCAACTACATGTATATAACATTCTAGATTCTTTGTTGTCATTTCAACAATGTTCATAGCATCCTCACTAGAAGTAAATTTCATCTCAAGAAATAATTTTCTGCTGGGCGCAGTGGCTCATGCCTGTAATCCTAGCACTCTAGGAGGCCGAGGCAGGTGGATTGCTTGAGCTCACAAGTTCGAGACCAGCCTGAGCAAATGCGAGATCCCATCTCTACTAAAAATAGAAAAAAACTCAGGCAAAAGGATTGCTTGGGCCTAAGTTAGAGGTTGCTGTGAGCTATGATGTCATAGCAATCTATCCAGGGTGACGGCTTGAGAATCTGTCTCTAAAAAAATAAAAAATCTCTTTGCTTATTCATAAGAAACAATTTATTATTCATACAGTTTTGTCATGAGATCTCAACAATTTTAGTCCCATCTTCAGGCTCTGCTTCTAATTGTAGTTCTTTTGCTATTGCCACCGTGTCTGAAGTTACCTTCTCCATTGAAGTCTTGAATCCCTTCAAGTCATCTATGAAGGTTGGCAAAAGCACCTTCTTCCAAACTCCTAATAATGCTGATATTTTGACCTCCCATGAATCACAAATGTTCTTAATGGTATCAAGAACAGTGAATAATTTCCCGAAAAATTTCAATTTGCTTCACCAAGATCCATCAGAAGAATCACCATCTATGGCAGCTGTAGCTCTACAAAATGTATTTCTTGGTTCAGCACCTGTGGCTCAAGCAGCTAAGGCACCAGCCACATACACCTGAGCTGGTAGGTTCGAATCCAGCCCGGGCCTGCCAAACAACAATGACAGCTGCAACCAAAAAATAGCTGGGCATTGTGGGTGGGCGCCTGTAGTCCCAGCTACTTGGGAGGCGGAGGCAGGAGAATCGCTTGCACCCAGGAGCTGGAGGTTGCTGTGAGCTGTGATGCCGCAGCACTCTACCTACGGCAATAGCGTGAGGCTCTGTCTCAGAAAAAAACCAAAATGTATTTCTTATATAATAAGATTTGAAAGTAAAAATTACTCCTTAATCTATGTACTGAAGAACGGATGCTGTGTTAGCAGATATAAAACAGTATTAATCTCCTTGTACATCTCCACCAGAGATCTTGAGTGACTAGTGCATTTTCAACAAACAGTAATATTATGAAAGAAATCTTTTTTTCTGAGCAGTGAGTCTCCAGAGTTGGCTTAAAATATTCAACAAACCCAATAAATTAGTGGTTTTCAACCTTCCTACTACCGCGACCCTTTAATATAGTTTCTCATGTTGTGGTGACCCCCAACCATAAAATTATTTTTTTTTTTGCTACTTCATAACTGTAATTTTGCTATTGTTATGAATCTGATATTAGGTGACCCCTGTGAAAGGGTCATTCGACCCCCAAAGGGGTCACGACCCACAGATTGAGAATGGTGCCGTAAACAGACGTGTAAATGTGCTGTCCCCGACTTTGTTGTTCCATTTATAGAGCATGAGCAGAGTAAATTTAGCACAATTCTTAAGGGCTGTAGGAATTCTGAAATAATAAATGAGAATTGACTTTAACTTAAAGTTACCCTGAACTGCATAATCCCTTAACAGGAGAGTCAGTCCATCCTGTGCAGATCTGAAGCTGGGCATTGACTTCTCCTCTCTAGCTATGAAAGTCCTAGATGGCATCTTCTTCCAATATGAGGTTGTCTTGTCAACATTGAAAATGTATTGTTTAGTGCAGCCACCTTCATCCATTATCTTATGTAGATCTGAGTCACTGGCTGCAGATTCTAGGTCAGCACTTGCCGCTTCCCTGTGCACTTTTATGTTAGGGCGATGGCTGCTTCTATTAAGCCTCACAAACCAACCTCCACTAGATTTAAACATTTTGTTTGCAGCTTTCTTACCTTTCTCAGCCTTCATAGGATTGGAGAGAGTTAGGGTTTCACTCTGGACTAAGCTTTGACTTAGGAAAATGTAGCCGGTTTGGTTTTCTATTTAGACCACTAAAACTTTCTTCATATCATCAATCAAGCTATCTTGCTTTCTTATCATTTATGTGTTCAATGGAGTAGCACTTTTAATTTCCTTCAATATCTTTTCTTTTCTATGCACGACTTGGCTGTTTGGTGACAGGGGCCACTAAACTTAAACATTTCTAGTTTTTTATTTAAAATGAGAGATGTGTGATGCTTCCTTTCACCTGAACACATGTAGGCAAGCCAATGTTGGGTTGTTAACTGGCCTAATTTTACTATGGTTGTATATCAGGGAATACAGCAGGACGAACAGAGGGAGAGAGATGGGGGAATGGCTGGTCAGTGGAGCAGTCAGATTATCAATTAAGTTCACTGTCTTATATTAAAATGGTTCATGGTACTCTAAAAGAGTTGCAACTGAACATCAAAGACCAGTGATTCAAGATCACCATAACAGACATAATAATAATGACAAAAGTTTGAAATATTACAAGAATTACCAAAATGTGGCACAAAGACACAAAATACTCATATGCTGTTAAAAAAAAAATGATGGCACTGGTAGACTTACTTGTTGCAGGATTGACATAAGCTTTCAACTTATAATAAATGCAATCTCTTCAAAGCACAACAGAGCAAAGTAAAATGAGATATACTCACACTCTATACCAATAGTAGCACTTAATGTATAGAGATGTTGGGAAAATTAAAAGCATTCACGTGAAAGTTGTTTAAAATTGTACTTGCTAGCTGGGCGTTGTGGCGGATGCTTGTAGTCACAGCTACTTGGGAGGCTGAGGCAGGAGAATCACTTAAGCCCAAGAGTTTGAGGTTGCTGTGAGTTGTGACACCACAGCACTCCACTGAGGGCAACACAGTAAGACTCTGTCTCAAAAAAAAAAAAAAAATTGTACTTGCAATGTAATGAACAATAACAGGTAATATCATTAAACTTGTGAGAAGTAATATAACTAACATATTAATCCTTTATTAGGAGAAGCCAATGGCTCCTTCAAAAATATTTTTTCAGAGAATATGGTATATTTGAAAAATATGATCTCTTTCCCAGCCTGATCTTTACTGGTGATAAAAATTGAGAGTACGTCTCTTTGTCTACTTGCCCTGACAATGGAGGCCCATTTGCTGCCGATGGTGAATGTATCCTGCTTTGTAAGCTTTCTTATTCTGTAAAGCTATCTTTCCCTTCCTCAATAAAGTTTGTTTCGTGCTTGCCTAAAAATGAAAAAGAAGGAAAGAAAGAAAATTTGAGAGCAATTGAAAATTAATGACAATTTACTGAGCTTTGTTCTTGTGTTCTTGACCTTACTCTCACATTTTGTATGCTTATGGTTCCTTCTTGTTTTTCTCTTCAAAATACAAATTATCTTATGTTAAAGGCTACGTGGAGTTAAATCAGAATCTCAGATTACACAAGCATCACATGAGGTATGTGAGAAAGTGCTGGGTATTCTCTGTTGGCCCCTGGAGATCTACGCAGCCCCAACCTGTACTTCAGGAGGCAGAACTCAAACACGTTATCTGTGCAAACTTTGCCTTGGCTTCCCTGTTAATACAGCCAATGGAATCCAAGGGAAGCCACCATGTTGGTGTCACCTAAGTGGCATAGAGCCACTGGGGGGTTTGCTGTACCTCTGTAATGCAAGACTTAATTGTTCCAAAGTCTCTCATGCTAATAGAAGAATGGCAGTGACTACTCATTTTTTTTTATTAAATCATAACTGTGTACATTAATGCATTTATGGGGTACAATGTGCTGATTTTATATACAATTTGGAAGGCTTACATCAAACTGGTTAACATAGCCTTCTCCTCACTTAATTTTTGTGTTAAAACATTTATACTCTAGTCTTTTTTATTTATTTATTTATTTATTTTTTATTTTGTTGCAGTTTTTGGCTGGGGCTGGGTTTGAACCTTCCACCTCCAGCATATGGAGCCTGCGCCTTACTCCTTTGAGCCACAGGCATTGCCCTATACTCTACTCTTAATAGATCTGACATGTACCCTTGACCCTTACAATATGCACCATAGGTGAGATCCCACAAATTACACTCCCTCCACCTGGCCTCCCCCCTGCTCCTTCTCCTCCTCTTCCCACCTTCATCCTGGGCTATAATTGTGTTTTATCATTTGTATGAAAGTGTGAGTGACTATATATTGGTTTCATAATAGTTCTTACTGACTAAATTAAGAATCTGATCAGAGGTGTGGTGTTTATCCCTTTATCTCTCTCCCTATTATGCTTTCATTGGGCAAAGGCTGTGTGTTCTGTGTCTTGGTCCATAGCCCTTGTCTGGCAGGTCACAAAGCTACCATAATCACCCTCCACTTAATCCTTTAGGCCTAGGAGTGATGACAGCTTCCAAGTGTATATTAAACCACTTTTTTTTGGTTCCCTTACACCTTTCCAAAACTTTATAAACAAACTTTTTTTTTTTGAGACAGAGTCTCACTATGTCACCATCAGTAGAGTGCTATGGCATCACTGCTCACAGCAACCTCAAACTCTTAAGCTTAAGCCATTCTCTTGCCTCAGCCTCCCAAGTAGCTGGGACTACAGGTGCCTGCCACAATGCCCAGCTATTTTTTGGTTGTAGTTGTCATTGTTGTTTGGCAGGCCCAGGCCAGGTTCAATCCCACCAGCCCTGGTTTATGTGACTGGTGCCCTAGCTGCTGAGGTACAGGTGCCGAGCCTATAAACAATCTTTTTAATAAATGTCCTCACCCCACCTTTTGAGTGTGCTATTTGTTTCCAAGTGCCTGATTGTCATAAAGAACAATGATTGGTCCAGTGAGATGCAAACAAAAAAGAACATCACAGATGTTTACAAATTACTGGGACTTGCAGACTATTTGGCCATTAAGTCAAGTGGCTAAAAGATGAACGATGATTCAAGCATAAAATTTCTCAATAACAATACTGTCATCACAGGACTTGGCAGAAATGGCTATCTGTCCACTAAATAACTCATGCTTTCCATCTAGAGTGAAGCTGTTGTCAAAAGCTTGCTGCCTGGGCAAAAATTACATTTTTTCTAGATCCCTTTTCATATCCAAATATAGGCAAGCCATGGTGAATGTGGATGTGATACATGTTACTTCCACATTATGGCTTTCAAAAACCAGGTATGGCTGCATCACTGTCTTGTTTTCTTTTCCAGTGGATAAAAGTTGGAGTCTCCAATATCTAAGGGAGGGAAGAATCCCAGATCCCATTTGGAGAAAGGGGATTTATTCCCTAATCAGGATTACTGGAGCTAAACTGTTATGTGAGATATAAACTTTTTTATTATGATAAACAAATAACATTTGGTGGTTTACTTATCACAGCAACTAGCATTACACTAACCAATACGCAGCACAGAAATTTATTTCAGGGATGAAATCTCTCCTTAGCTTTGTTTCAGGCTACACAGTCATCTACCACTTTTTACATCCTGTTTGCCCAGTGTAAACTATTTTTGTATCTGTATTATCCCAGTCATTTCTATGCTTCATGTTCAATATCAAAGACAGGTGCATTTTTTTTTGACTTTTATCTTTTTCTTCCTAACTGTAATCCAGTGCTATCACTTTCAACATTTGCTTCATTTTGGAAACCAGAGCAAAAATGTTCCATTGCTGGCCATTCTGAGTCAATTTATTTATCATTTCCTCCTTTACCAAGTTACGCTTTGGCTTAAACTTCATAAACTTCCACTTTCTGAATGATGATGAATCTATTCTACCTTTAAACCCAAACATACTTCCACTATTGTTTAAAACAGCAGCCAATTTCATTTCTCCCCACAACCTGCTCCTCACCTGCTGTCCAAGCACCTCAGACATGCATGAGGAAAATATATACAACTCTCTGCAGTGGGATGATCCACCACCAAACCCTAACCAGACATGTCTGTCTTCTGCCAAATGTTCAGGTAAACAGTTCTAATTATCTTGTATAAGACTTTAGAGTTTATGATTTATTTTGTTTTCTATCATGAGCCTTAGATGCTTCTTCTAATCTGATAAAATCTACTTAAGAGTATCGGTGGTGCCCCTTAGCTCAGTGGGTAGGGCTCGGTCACATATGCTGAGGCTGGCAGGTTCGAACCCAGCCCAGGCCAGCCAAACAACAATGAGAACTGCAACAGAAAAATAGCCAGGCATTATGGTGGGCACCTGTAGTTTCACCTACCTGGGAGGCTGACGCAAGTGAATTGCTTAAGCCCAAGAG